AAAAATCCCTTCTGTAATTTTCGCTTCTGAAAGAGCTGGGAATTGCCCACATAGATACTTGAAACGTCGCCATCTTTGTTTAAGTCCTTTACAAATTGCTTCATCAAGCCCAGTTTTATGTGAAGTAGAGGTAATAGGACTTTCTTTGTGTCAACCAAATTTTCACGTTCAATGTTTTGCAATCCTGGTATCAGGCTGACTTTGCGTCGCCATTGCCGATTTCGTGCTCTGCCGTCCCATTCATACAACGAATTGTTGCCCCCACAAAATACAAAGGACTTTGAAATCTCCACAAAGTGGCTAACCTCGTTCTTTGTATTTGACCTTATTAAGAAGAATTTCTAGATTTTCGTAAGTTTCCTTCAAGTGAACCGAATGAGCAATAGGAACAGATGCATATATGTTACAAATGTGAAGAACACCTTTTATACTCCTTTTGGAGGAATCAATGAACAATCGCCACTCATTTGGTTAATTGACAGCATCTTCTAGCATTGGTATTAGTTCAACAATATTGTTGCAATAAACCAGCAAACCTTTTTGCAATAAATATGGTATAAAAACTTTCTCACGATTTCTGTAGCGACGTCATCATTTTGCATTTCATGCAAACAAGTATTTCTGTAGCAATTTAATAAAATACGAACAAAAAAAATAATTCATCTGGAAACCACAATACAGATATAACGCGCAGTTTGACTAGCATCAGTGGTACAAGTGAATTCCCTCTCTCTCCACTAGATGAAGAGGGAGATGTAATCTGTAATAATATTTCTTTTGTGTCTATAGACCAGTATAGTAGCTAGAATACACTGTTACTTTGAAAACTTTCTTGGCAGTAACACCTGTAGTTTCTTGTAAACTTTACTGCTACTGACACAGTTTATTTCTCTAGGTCTCTCTCTCTCTAGAGTTTCCTGTAAATTGTACTGCTACTAACAACGGTTATTTTTCTAGGTCTCTTTCCATAGTTTCCTGTCAACTTTGCTGCCACTAACACCTGTTACTTATCCATGTCTCTCTCTGAATTTTTTGTAAACTTTCGCGCCATTAACACCAGTTACTTCTTTAGGTTCCTCAAGACAGTGTCCTGTAAACTTTGCTTCAACTAACGCTGGTTAGTTCTCTAGGTCTCTCTCTGGAGTTTTTTGTAAGCTTTCCTTTTCCCATGATCATATTTGCTACCCATTTCATTACCAATCAAAATTAAACTACAATACAAAGTTAGCTACTCTCGCTGATCACAAATAACTACACAAACCACGAGTTTTATATAACTGTAAAGCATTAATAACGGAAAACTATTGTCAGCCTGAAACATAATATGAAATACACTGCCAGTAATGTGAAGTTAATGAACGTGACTTCAGAAAGACTAACTTGAAAACTGCATTCCATTAACAAATGTTAAACATTTTACATTACTTTTATATTTACAAGGAACCACTACCAGTATACAAGAATTTGAACATAAAGTTCTTATATTTTGCATTTCTTACCTGAAAGATTATTTCGGCTGTTCAAAAAGCATCATGTTACTGTTATGCATAACTCAGTTTATGTTCACATGACCTAGTGCTATACACAAATATATACGTTCAACAATAACTCAAATTACACTCTGCTATCTTGATGTAAACATTTAGCAATGGTCCTGCCATCTGTTGGTGAGTTTGTACATAAGCCTGTACTTTTAAAGTTCCACTTCAAATTAAAATTCATTGTGCATAGCAATAGCTCCTGTAACCACGCTTTATACATAAGTGACTGACGTTGTTATGACATCGTGCTTTTGTTTTTACGTTTTTGTTTTGTTTTAATGCATTTAGATGACTACTAAAATCACTTAAAAACGGGCTAGTGCTGTCTTACATTGATGGATCTAAGTTTTGACGTTGAATTAAAACGAAGTTTGTTCGATGTGTAATTACCTCACAACTATGTTTCTACAAATAATTCTTAGATTTCAAAGATAACCATTATTATATAAAATAGCAATGGCAAACATTTTTCATGCACCTATAATTATAAATCACATTGTCATAGAACCTAATAAGTATCCCGAATTACATTATATAGTTAACAATAAATATTACAAACTTGGTTGAACCAATATTCACAATGAACATTACTGGGGGTCAGCAAATATCACTAATTCGTTGATTGTTATTCGTGGAATGTGGGAAAGTACACAATAGCAAGTGCCAAAAAACAACAACAAAAAACGGGTTTACACCACATCGAAACCATTTTAATAGCACTTTATGACCAAAATAAAATAGCAATTAAACAATGGAAGTCAAAGACTGTCTTAGAATTTTATTGCCCTCTATCATGCAACTAATTTCATACACTGTACAAGTTAGTTTTTTTAAATAAGTTAAGCTGATGTTCAATTTCTTTTAGTTCTTCATCAATTTTAATGAAGATACAATTGTTTATACAGTGTTTTAGTCGCATCAGTGCTAAAGAAATGATCTGCATATTTTGGTTTACTTTAACTAATTTTTAAAATGGCTATTTCAAAAATAAAATAATTAGTCTTTTATACTGGTTGAATGAATGCACTCTTATTATTCATGTAACCTTAAAATTTATTTGTACACAAAATTCACATTTCAGAACCTTGTAACTTCTTTAAATACTATGCACAGAATACACTGTTAATCATCTGTAATGTTTGAAATAAATTCTAGGTTTTCAGCTAAATATATAACAAAAAAAAACACACCCATAAACTGGTACAAGAAGTTACTACTAAAAATTAGTTACAAACTTCACATAGTAACTTATAGCTTGGGTGACAAATGCAAATATTGACACATTAAAGGTTTTCTTCCATATTCTTTGAAGTTCACTCACAAGCTTTAAGTAACAATTAACAGCAACAAATCATACAGTAAAGAATGTAAAAATGAGTACTGTAATTGTGATCTAGAATCTGTGAGTAAAATACAATCAACATGGAAGAAAAAAACATTTCTCTAGTGTATATTCTGCAAAACTTCTTTATCATCATAAATTTACTAGCAAGATAAAGTTTGAAAAACAGTCATGTTCAATAATTACTTGACATACTTCATTACAAAAAAAACACCATATTTCACCCACCATAAATATCAAAATAATACAAATGTACTAATGTGTAAGCATACAGTTTACCAATATAGAACAGTGGTAGGGAAGAATGATATTTCAATGCAGTATAACAGATCATGTTTAAGAATGGGTATTACTTGGGAGAGAAAGAAAGAAAGAAAAAGTCAGAATTTTAATTTTTCTTTTGCTCAAACAACATCTGTTACTTTTTTAAAATTTTACAGTTACATTTTTTTGAAGTTATATCACTCAGCAAAATTTTCTTATGTTTATGTGCTGTGTGTTTGATGTTCCATGGCCAATGTCACTTTCGATACAAATTGTCCATAGAAGTATCAGAGCTGAAATAAACAAAATAAACCATTATTTGTATATATGTTTCAAAATTACATAATACATTTGTAAAGAACAATATTTTATACCTTGTCCATTAGAAACCACTGTTTTTTTTAAGCAGTGTGCACTGTAGGAATCAAACCCTGATTTTTAACATCATAACTCCTCAAGCTTACCCCTGTCCAACAGTGTGCATTACGAACTGAAGAATAAAAATATACTACTCTGTAATTATATTTTACTATCCAGAAGAACAGAGTCCAGAATATTTACAAATCTTACAAATAAATTGTATATGAATTTTAACTAAAACAAAAAAAATGTCCAATATTGTCTAAAAATCCAACCTGCCTTTGACTACTTGAAACCATGAAAGAATATAATACTTAAAATTTCTTTAAAAATATTTGGTTATAATATTTTTAAAGGGTATATTCTCATAAAAAGTTGTAGTATGCCAAGTTCACGTTTAGTGAATACTAAGAAATGTATACTGATATAAAAAAACTTGCAAGTTTTAAATATTGATTCTAACTTTTCAAATAATATTTTAACATAAACCATGCTAAAAATATAAAGCATAAGTTCTGTTATAAACAAGACATGAATTATTTAAGAGAGTAATTTGATTAGACCGTTAATGTGACCAATTTTAAAATCCACTTTTACAAATTCAAACAAAACATTACTTCGTTATCAAGTACTATAACTTCGAAATTTAACCTTTTTTTTAACATTAATACATGAATAATTAATGATCTTGAACTTTCTTTCCCACATGTAGATGCAAACAATTACATTTGTTTTTAAATTCAATTTCATCAAAAGAAAATGGTCATAATGTGGTCCCAATTCTGTAATAACTTCATATTTAGAACACCATAAGGTGTATGAATAAATTTTATTTTTTATTCCTAGACTGTTCTGATTATCTACATTTATTTACTTACTAATGTTGCACAAGTTAATCCTGACTGAAACTGAACATCTGTTTAAGAACTAACACTGCATGTTTCAACTAACTAAAACTATTTGTATGTTTCTTATGATTAACTGTGTACCTTTTTTAGTAAGTAAAACAATACATTTAGCAACTTACATTGAAAATCTTTCTACTAACTGTGCACATATTTCTAATACTGTTTTTTTTACTAAGCAGAAACTGATTTTTTTTCTACTACATAATACTACAAAGTTTATACAATCTAAACCTGAACATCTGTCTATTTTTGTTTTACTGACTAATAATACACACATATATGATGATTACATTATGATTTTGTTTTGAATAACAGTCTATTCTCTACTGCCATCTTTCTATCAACATTGTACATTTATAATAACTAAAAGTACACTTTTCTACTGTCAATCTCTATACATCTTTTTAAGGATATACACTATGTCTTTACAACTGACCCAGACTGTACAAGTAACTAATGATGAATACTACATATTTTTCCTCTCACTTGTAGTTTAAATCTGCTGATTTAAACTGCAAATATGTTTAAAGATTAATATTGTACATGTTTTCGGTGACTCAAATTTTAAATATATTTAAAGGTTAACACTGTATAATTTATTATGTGGGTTCATATACTTCAAAACATTCAAACTATCATTAACAATGGAACAATGAATTATAATCTTTATAAGTACAAACATAAGAAAGTATATTTAATTATCAATAATCAATGGGTTGATATTTAATTTTGCTGTAAGTAGGTAACTTGCATTGATCAGAAGTTAATATTAATGACAAAACAATCACACCTGTTCGTTTTCTAAAATCTTGTATAATGTATCCCTGAACTCTTTCAACCCATGCTCAGTCCCTGGGACTGACCTCGTAACCATTTTGTGCTTGTTATAGTTTTCATGCTATAACTTTTAAATTAGTAAGCAAATGTTAACGAGATTTGGCAGTTTATCAGTAAACATTACAATGCTTTCATATACAAAATATCTAATTTTTTCTTATTAAGTCTTAAGGTTTGTAAAGCAATGTTTTTCTCATGCCTTTTTTTTCTTTTCACATCTTGTCTATCTATCATGCAAAGTAATTTTCATTTTAAGATAAAAAATACTTTTATGCAACATAAAATTTTGAAATTTCACGAGAAATATATTTATATTTTATCTGTTATTTTCAGTAATTAATTTGTGTACAGGTTCAGTAGATTTGTCCAATCTTGCAACCACCATAAAAAATTAGGAGATAAACAACTTATGCATCTTTCATTCTAGAATGAACTGAAATTATAACACAAAAACATAAATGATTAGACAAAATAGCTTAAATCTCATAACATTATATATTTATATATATGTTTATTTGTTATATTGACCTTTCACCCGTGCCTGGCTAACAATACAGAAGTTGCAATGATGCGGCTCACATGCACTCATATTACCACATCAGATAACACAAAGGTGACCTTTGTTCTGTACAAAGTAACTTCTCTTGGCTGTGTTTTAGGCAACTAGTATTTTCTAAAATACAGTCACATT